AAATTTAAGGGGGTCTGAATACTTTCCGTACCCACTGTATATATATATATATATATATATATATATATATATGTATGTATTATGCTATTAAAATGCTTCACTTAGGGTTTGAATATCATTGTGTAATTTCCCTCAGGAAACAAAAACATTCAAATTGTAAACACTATGAACAAACAAATATATTCCTTGACAAAGATTGTCTCAGACACTATATGTATTTTGAATAATGTTAAAATTGTTTCATTTTTATTGATTTGGTTATGTTCTTATTAATTTAATTGCAGAGAGAGCTCCGCCCACACACTTATCTGATTGGCTGTGATTTGTGATTGGTTATATCATGTCTGGTGTGGACAGACGCAGCTAGTAGCAACTAGTTAGGGCACGTGTTGCAATTTTATAATATAGCGGGCCAACAAATCCCAAAGTCTTACATTCTAGGAGAGACCTGAGACATATCTAGAGAACAGATTATCATAAAGAAGGTGGGATATTTTGGGTAAAAGCCATTAGCAAATGACACTAATGGCTGAACTGTGAATACCGTTGTTAAGCCATTGTAAGAGTGAAAAGAACATCCAAAGTATCTACTATATTTCCACAGTGAATGCCTGTTGATCTTTTTTTTCATTTAAAGGGGTCATATGATGTTGCTAAAAAGAACATTATGTTGTGTATTTGGTGTAATGAAATGTGTTTATGTGGTTTAAGGTAAAAAAAAAACACATTATTTTCCATATACTGTACATTATTGTTTCTCCTCTATGCCCCGCCTTTCTGAAACGCGCCGATTTTTACAAAGCTCATCGGTTTGAAATGCGAGGTGTGCTCTGATTGGCCAGCTATCCAGTGCATTGGCCGAATACCTCAAGCATGTGACGGAAATGTTACCTTACCATATTGTGATGCCGTGTCCCAGAGTGACGAGACAAAAACAGGCGTTATAAACGATATTGTAAAATAAAAAAATTAAATAAAAAAACTAGGCATTTGTTGCATCCAGTGGGGACATAAATACGGATTATAATGACTTATACTGTCTTTTTACGTGTTGCGTTGCATCGCGCCGTGTAAACATAAAATAATTTCTGCATTTGTGAGATCAGGAAACAGTCCTCCATAAAATGTGCTGCACACATCTGAATATTTGGGTTGAACTGTTCTGGAACAGTGTTGTAAATACAACTTAACCACTCATTTCTAGTCAAGTCCTCTTTTGGAAGGCCAAACAAAGTATTTTCGCTTTTGCAACGAAACACACAGCGTCTCCACAACAATGCGGCGGCAGCAACAATACTACAGCGAGAATCAAAGTTATGCCTTCTTTCTTTGCATGAACATTTGGGCGGTGTTATGCAAATCTTCCCACATTGTGACGTAGACATGTGGGGGCGTGTTTAAACGAGGTGTTTTAGAAGGGCGTGGACCAGTCTTAACTTTTATAAAGAATATCTCTTTGGGTTTGAGACTTTAGGCTTTGCAACTTTAGGGATCTTATCTATTCACGAACAGCTTGTGACACTCCAAAGAGAAAGGAAAACTTGAAATAGCATCATATGACCCCTTTAAAGAAGCCGATGCAGATTGAATTGGTAATGAAGTTATTAATTCTGTTGGAGCAGATGGTGATGGAAGAGGGGAATGAGGAGCTGAAATGCCCCTGTAGCTCACCACTCAGCCCGCCTGACCCGTTCTGTCTCTCAATTCCCTCCTGCTCATGGAATACTACCAAAAAACAACCCCTGAACAGCTTGTTCTGCCTCAAACTGACTTTTCCTCCAGATCACAACGTTCATATCTTGCTCTGACTGATTTTAGTATCTCTTTCTCTCGCTCTCTCTTTCTCCTCACATGAAAGCAGATGTTTTGTTTGCTCTGCCGACAAAAACAAAAGGCAGAGTCATTAGCGATAGAGAGTAGTTTGCTTATGTAAATAAACCGCTAGGTGAAAAATTCTTATTTACTTTTCACCCTAATAGTCCACCCACAGATTGCAGTATCACATCACCCAAGAGCTGTTGGTGAATCAAATAATTATTAACAGTAATCTTGCACAGGAGTTTTGCAACATTATAATTATTATTTAAAAACACTTGAATTGATTTCAAGTTCTTTTCCATTCCAAAAAATCATGTATCAGTATTTTGTCTTAATTTCTAAGAATGTCTAAACCAGCAAGATATTAAGAAGGGCTTTAAATGATAATAATATGATGATCATTTTAAATGAAATATACATATAAAGTATACTTGTTATTTATTTGCATGTTTTTTTCTAATGCAAAGCCATCCAGACATGTTCACACAAGTGTCACACAGAAATTACATTCAAATCAAGCAGCTTTCTGTTGGTCAGCGTGATCAACTTGAAACTGTTGCAAAATCTGTGAAGGGAATTCTTTCTCCCTCACGTGAAATTCCCAATCGCATGGATTCCTATTGAAATGACTGGATTTGGCCTGTGAAAATCAGCCAAACAACGGTAAATTGCAAACAACGTGCTCGCCACGGCGGCACATATACTAAAATTGGATAGATACAGAGAAGATTAGCATGGCCCCTGCGAAAGGATGACACGCAAATCCGTGAAGCGCTCCATCTTTTTGTGGGGAAGTCGTGGCCTAATGGTTAGAGAATCGGACTTGTAACCCAAGGTTGTGGGTTTGAGTCTCGTACCGGCAGGGATTGTAGGTGGGGGGAGTGAATGTACAGCACTCTCGCCCACCTTCAATACCACGACTGAGGTGCCCTTGAGCAAGGCACCGAACCCCCAACTGCTCCCCGGGCACCGCAGCATAAATGGCTGCCCACTGCTCCAGGTGTGTGTTCACTGCTGTGTGTGTGCACTTTGGATGGGATAAATGCAGAGCACTAATTCCGAGTATGGGTCACCATACTTGGCCACATGTCATGTCACTTTTTATTTTTTTAAATGTGACCACACCTTTAGCCAGTTAGGGCTATGCTAAGCTCATATGTTAAGCTATTGCTTTCTAACTGAAAATAGTGAAAATACCTAAGTGTCTGAATAGTTCTTGGGGCCACTGCAGCTGTGTGGGCCTGACTGGACGACATTGTCAGCGTTTTTCCCTTCACAAGGTCCAAAGTGAGCCTGACACACCCGCGTACGCTCATCTCTTTCTCCCAATCACACACCCTCACATTCACTGTTCTCCATTTAGAGAGCCGGACACGAGTGAATGCGAATCTCAGTCACAATGTAGTGTTCTGACAATTCATGCTAATCACTAACAGATGGATATTAACTAATAGAGTTCCTGTGGCTCAGTGGTAGAGCTTTGCATTAGCAGTGCAAAAGGTCATGGGTTCGATTCCCAAGGAACACACATACTGGTAAAAAATGTATATCCTGAATGCACTATAAGTCGCTTTGGATAAAAGCATCTGCTAAATGCATTAATTATTATTAAAGGAATGCTCTGGGTTTAATATGAGTTAAGCTCAGTCGACAGCATTTATGTCGTAATATCAATTTTCTCATTTGTAATTTCAACTTGTGTGTTCATTTTTATTAATTTTTTTCTATTATTTTTAAGAAAAATTGTGGTGAGGAAAAATGTAACGGAACTGGCAGGGCAGTAAACATTAAAATATACACTGTTTATAGCCACAATACATAGATATTATTAAATGTGCTTAAAGCTGCAGTCCGTACATTTTTTGTGTTCAAAATTAGCAAAATGTATATAATAAGCGAGTACACCATGAATCCATTTTCCAAACCATGTTTTTGGCTTATACTGAATCACTATGGTACACCTATAATAAATGTTTATATTCAGCCTATTTTAGACGGGGTTGGGTAGGTACCGCTGCGGAGTTGCCCAGTACCTGCGTGGTTCGTCATAGACATAAACAGAGAGAAGTAGCTCCGGCTACAATGTTCTTCCGTAAGACGCATGCAGTTCTGTTTATTAACCACTAGAGTGCCAAAAGTTACGGACTGCAGCTTTAATTATTTCGTGCAATTACATTAGCGAAATTTCAGCAAAATGTTGCTGGCAAAAAGGTCCAATGTTTATTCTCTGTTTGTCAATGTGGCAAATGCATGATCAACTTGAACCCGTTGCGAAATCTGTGTGGGGAAATATTTCGCTCTCATGTAAAATTCCCAAACGCATGGATTTCTATTGAAATGACTAGCGAAAATTTGCCAAACAGCAGAAAATGTAACAGCCCCATTATTTAGTTAGGGCTATGCTAAGCAATGCTAAACTGTTTAAACTGCTTTCTAACTGAAAATACTGTACAAAATAGCAAAATGTTTGATTTGAGCATTTTTAGCTTTGGCGATATAATGGAATATGTCCTTTTAAAGACAGGGATTAAACGGATAGTTCACCCAAAAATTTTAATTCTGTCATCATTTGCTATGTAGCCATTGACTTCCATAGTATTTATTGATTTATTTTTAACCATACTATGGAAGTCAATGGCTACCGTCAAGTCTTTGCCAACATTTTATTTTTTATTTATTTATTGTGCGTGTGTGTGTGTGTTCAGCAGAAGAAACAAACTCATTCAAGTTTACAGTATCCTGAGGGTGAATAAATAATGACAGAATTATCTATCCCTTTAAGACATATTCATATTGTAAGTACTAACAAGTAAACCATAAAGCAATTTCTGTTATTTCTAATCAGAGACCAGATACAATATGCATTAAAGAGTTGCCAAAAATATTAATGTAATATTTTGGCCTTTAAACCCTCTGTACGATTGATTGATTGATTGATTGATCGATCGATTGCAGAACAAAAAAATAATTATATTTTCTGTGGTAATCAGTTGTGTTTGACAAATGCTGTTGATGGAGCCTAACCCTCTTACATCACATTTGAGGTTGGAAGTGCATTGTGTGTGATGGAGGTATGAGATACTGGAGGGAAATTCCTCAGCATCCAGCCACTTTACAGCAGCATGACTCTCAGCAGAGAACACACTTCTACAGACAGAGAAACTATTGTAATGCTCTCGAGCAGCTGTGCGTGTTTGTCTTTCGAGTGCCTGTTGGGACCCTCGGCTCTGCCTGTACTGCATGTCCTTTGACTGCTGATTGGATTATATTTCTTTCCCTTAGAGGACTGCGCTTTTCTGGAAGTCAGCGTGTCAAGCACAAGTGTTTTCTCCTCTCCCTGTGTGTTTATGTGCGCATCCGTGCTTAGCTGAAGAAGCTGTTGAGCTCTGTAAGTGACTCCTGGCCTCTATAGGGTCACTAAGACAGCAAATCAGTAGGAGTTTGTTATGCCAAGGCAGAGCAGATACTGTTTTATTATTGTCTAACAGAAAACAGTTTAAGATCCAGATCT